ATCCAGCCTTTTCATGAGCTTACAAAGTAATGATTTAGGTAAATTTACCTTATAGTTTGCCTTAGGTTCTATTCTACATGCTTCTTTCGTTCCYATGCAAGCTGTACAAAGAAAGGAGTGCCCATACTAGAGCAGAAGTGCTTTGGACGTGTTTTAGTGTCCTGGCAGTTGATACCTAGAGCTGTCAGAGGGTTGCATTTATCATGCAGATGGTGCTTTCTCATTCATTTCGTATTAACTGCTTATTCGTTCTTGACGAAACTCAGTCCAGCCTATAAAGCTGTTCAGAGGTCCGTTTACCACTAGAGTTAAGTTCCACTTAAATGGTACGTAGCTTTTTCGCTGGCTCTTCTCAGGCAGCGCATTTTATCCTCGGCTAACAGAGACATTCATTTAGGTATGAGTTCATCAGGGGAAGCTCATATCTGCAACTAAATTTGGTAATTCAAACCAGTCTGCTCTGTCTCTGCTAGAACAACACAGCTATATATGAAGTAGTTTGTCCGCGAATTTCAGTGAGGTTTTCTGAGATCCTAAGTAATTGTAGTACCATTGTTACGGAAAATCACATGCCTTTTGGATTGGACTGACCAGAAGCCCTTGTGTTACGTCTCAGAAAACAGGCCATGCCGTTCGGGCAATAGGAAGATTGTCGTCCATGGCGATGATTTCCGGTATGAGTGGGAGGAAGGCCTCCGGGAGCTCGCCTACCAGCCCTATAAACACAGACAAAGTAGAGAATGAAGGTAAGGAACTTGGCTGCACCTGCCCTTTGAATGCTGCTAAACCTTTCGGCAAAGTGCTAAAAACCAGTCGACTCTGTTATTCCTGCTTGCTCTCTCCTGTTATCTTTTCCTTTTTTAAAGATCAAAAAGTTGTTGTTGTTATATTGCTCAGCTACTTAAAATGTCCTGTTGTACAGGCTGTAAACTGCTCGCTTTCAATGCGAGGAATTAAGGCAGACTTGTCAGCTGCATTTTATATCAATCTGGGAATGCGTGTTTGTTATACAGAGATTGCAGCAACGTATTGCCTTTTCATGCAAATGCACAAACAGTAAAGTAATAATGCTTGCTATCTGCAAGGTGTTTGCTGTGTGCTCATCATGCTCAGAGAGGGGCATTTAAAAAAAAATAAAACAAAAAATAATAGATGTCCATGGTTATTCCACTAAACCCGGATTTGGAACATGCATTTGTGGTGTATAACAACCACATGGACTATGGGCCCAATCTAAGTTCCCCCAGTTTGCATCTTTGATTAGGAAGAGTGCAGAATTGATTATAAACAAGTTCAGGGAGAAAATAAAGAGTATTTGTAGCATGGTGGCCGTAATGTGGATTTAATTCTATTTAATGTCTGAATCTTTGTCCAACTCTGAAATACTGCCACTAACCTTAGCAGCTGACATCCTCACTGTTCTATTAAAAAGCCAAAGATGCCTTCATTATCTTTTTGATTATTAAAAATTGAAACTCATGTTTTGAGAACGTCCTTTGTAAAATGATTAACCACCTCTTTGCTGTCTGCCAGATGCTTTCCTTGAGGAGGTGGCCGAGGAAAAGCCCCATGTAAAGCCATACTTTACTAAAACAATCCTTGACATAGAGGTTGTGGAAGGAAGTGCTGCTAGATTTGACTGCAAAATTGAAGGTACATTCAATAAGAATCTCTTCACTACTCTTCCTTTCCTTTKGTGCCAGCTCTCTGTGTTGTGCTGTTGTTTAGCTGAGGTTTCTCTGTTGTTGTTGTGTGGGTGCTTTACCAGTATCTGCAAGTCACAGCAGGAACGTGTTGCAATAAAATAAGCCTTCTGCAGCTGCATCAGCTTGTTCTGTGCTTGCCGTAGTGCAGAAACCTCTAAAAGCAAATACGTGTGAGTCAGTAACTCAGAATACTGAGACAGAATAGTAAGATGATTTTTGAGGGTGAAAACAACAGAAACAAGACGCAGTATAATACTGTAAGTTGCCGAAACGTACCCTTGGAACCTGCGAGGCAGAAGCCGCAAATAAGSAGGCTCCTGTCTCGAACGGCAGACAAGCTTTAGGTGACCTTCAGCCATACATACCCTGTGCTAAAGGCAAAGCCCCTAGCAGCGTGTTGGCAGAAGTAATGATAATAATCATTGTGCTGSCTACAGAATTCACATCTAGAAAATACTGTGCGTGTTTGTGTTTTGTTAACTTACAAGCTCAAAAAAAATAGGTAACTCGGACGGGAATATGTAGATAGAAAGAATAACTTTATGAGGTGCCACTAAAGGAGGGTGGCTTTGTCAGCCTAAAAAATTAAGGGCAAAGACTGCTGGCATTTGCTGTTGATTAAACTAAAAATCAGGAAGAGACGTCAAAGAAAAAAAAACCCCAACCAGAGTTGGTACCAGAATGTATGTATTAAAAGTTCAGTAGTTTCTAATTTTAAGAAAGATAAAACAGCCTCACAGATCTTGTCCTTATTTCTTTCTGTGCTCCTGATCTCTTTCACTGCCTGTTTCTTACCTGTTCCTTGCTGTTGCTGATGGATGCTCAGCATGGTGTATGGTGTATACATCCTGCATGGAATAAAAAAGATAGATGTACCATGGCCAATTTTCCAAGCTTTCCAGTTGTATCGCTGCAATGCTCGCTGTGTATTAGCAATTCCTGCACTTATTGCTGTTCAGTGGGAAGTCATTCTCCTGTCATAGTCCAGAACGTGCCGTGTTCGGGTGGCTCTGTCAGCCAGGAGCACTGTGTGCTCCCGCGTGTGTTGTATGGCCCTGCTCTGGACGCCTGGAGAATAGCAACTGTCTGCTGCACAAAAGGCTCAGAAACTCCTATTGAGAAGCACAAGCACAAAGCTTTTCTTAGATCCTCTCACTCTAACAAAGACACAGAGGGAGTGGGAGTGTCGAATTCACCCAGCAAAACAGGCTGGTGTAAGTGAGCAGATTAGGTGGAAGAAGATCCTGAATATCCACAGCAAAGCAGGCTGAGAAGGACAGGAAATTGTAGCTGTAGCATAAAGCACCCTGAAATTCTAAATTTCCCTGTTGGGATCTGTATGCTCCAGAAAAGCTGCATATTAAGGTAAGCCTCTATTATRCTATTACGAGTTCTTTCCTGGCTGGTGTCTGAGATGTCTGTGATTGTGTCTGCAATCAGGGAAAAAGTGGTGAAACATGATACCTAGTGAGTATCACATTGTTAACTTTTGATTTGTGCTATTCATAATGAGATCAATTCAGGCAACTCTAAAAAGCCTTACAACACCTACCTTTATTTTAAATAGAGTCCAGCTAAATACTTATATGTCAGCATTTTGACACATGCATACCTGGATGTGGAACTGGAGCGTAAAGTAAGCGCAGGCAAGTACTCATTTACTTCTTTACTGCCATTGCTGATTGTTCTCCACTATTGCAGGCTATCCTGACCCTGAGGTAATCTGGTACAAAGACGATCAGCCTGTCAAGGAGTCCCGGCACTTCCAGATAGATTATGATGAAGATGGGAACTGTTCTTTGACTATTTCTGAAGTATGTGGGGACGATGATGCCAAATACACCTGCAAAGCTGTTAATAGCCTTGGGGAAGCAACATGCACCGCAGAACTCCTTGTGGAAACAATGGGAAAAGAAGGAGAAGAGGAGGAGGAGGAGGAAGAATGAAACATGGCTCAAAGAAATGTTTTTTGAAAAAGAAATATTTAAGGACTCTCTTTCTAAGGCTCAGAAAACCAAGTTATCCAAAGCACCTTGTGTGATACGTAGGTCTTTGCGGGATTGTTTTTCAGCATGATCAGTTGAGACCTGTTTGTTTTATGTATGGGCATTAATTGAAATCAGCATGCACTTTAAGTTGCTAGCATGATTGGATTTCATTTAAGAAGGTCATCAATTAAGTTGCCCAGTCTGTTTTTTAAATTAAAATATTTACAAAGTAARTCTAGAATTACATACTCTCAACTTACTGAAGAAAAACAGCCTATTTATTGAGGTCATTGGTCTATACCATCATTGTCATCAGCCAGCACTACAGCTATGTTGGCTCCCCAAGATCTGCTTTACAAGGAGCCGTTGGTCAGACACATGCAGTGAATCTCACCAGTCTTAGGACAGGCTGCTATCATAGCAGTATCTTCTATAAGGGAAGGTCTGATAYAGTGAGCATTGCATTTTGTATGTTCATACTGTTCATTTTTCATATGTTCTAAACAGAATTTCACTGTCCTAACTTTAAACACATTTATTCCCCTTTCTCAGTGTGCTGTTATTTTAGTTCTAATACTGCGAATCTTAGATATCCATGTGTTTTTTTCTGAGGTATTGCTGACCATACCATGTCAACTTTCCCTTATAGATTCTGTCACTTTAATGCAGAATCTGTCACTTTAATTCAGTCTGTTTCTATTTGAGAAAAAGACTGAAAATACAGAGACTGAGAAAATTTTCTGTTGTTCTGGACAGTTTAGTAATGATTTATGATTCATTTTTATGCTGCTGTGAAACATAGGCTATTGCACAATCAGTGATTTCCATGTGCATGTGTGTGAAGGAAATCCCAATTTAGTTAAAATTTTACTTGCATTTATTTGGCCATTGCAAAGCAGATTTCAACTGATAATAAGCTGGAAACTCCCACAGACTTTTTGAACAGCCAAAAAGATAGTAGTCTGGATTAGAAATTCCTTTATCCTAAGCCATTTCCAAAGAATCTTAACCTATATAGGACCTATTTGTACCTTATGAGCTTGACTGTCTTATTTTTGTCTTGAACCTGCATTATTAGGGCTGTTGCCTGTTTAAAAAATGCAGGAACAAAAAGAAAAAAAAATCCAAACCCCATTTTTTTTTCTCAGAAATGGTTAATGCACTCAGATTAGTAACTTTGCTTACCTTTCACAGTGTTGGCACTTTTTTTTTGTTGTTGTTGTTCAGAGGTAATATCAGAGGCTGTAAGGTGATATGCGTAATCCAAAAGGAGTGTCCTGTATCTATGTATCATTCCAAAAGTGATTCCTTTTCTTTTCCACTTTTTTTGTGTGTCAAGTGCAACCATTGCACTTTTTCAAAGGTTACCTCTAAAAAAAAAAAAAAAAAAAAAAGAGAAAATATTTGAAATCTTCACAATTAAGTAGTCAGTCTACTTTAATACAGGTGTGTACAATATCAGCCTTAGGTTATTTGATATTACCTAGTTGCATATGTGTTTTATATGATTTGCTCTTCTACATTCAAAATTCAACTAATGTGGATCACATGATGGTTTTTATAACTGCTTTACTCTTTATTGCTAGGTTCAGATTTGCCAGCATGTCTTTTCTTTTTCAATGGATAAAGAACTCTTGTTATACTAAACACAATATTGCCACAATTCCTTATACAGAAAGGTTTTTAATCTGATTTAGAGCATACAGAGCTTTTCTCACGTTTTTTAAATGTTAGGCATCAATGGGGTGTATTTTGTACCTTAATAAAAATATGCTAATGTTTTCCCAGTTTGTTAAACCATCAGAATTGCAAAGATGAGAACGCTACAGCTGTAGTTACTCACAGTTCCTAAATAAATAATACCACAAAGCACGCAACTTGTATACTCTATTGCAGCCGTCACTGCGTTCCCCCTGGCTAAGGCAGTCAGAGGAAGTGTCTTCTCCTGGTCGCTCCCTTGCTGCGACCTGCTTGCCACAAGCATGGGTGAGGTGGCCACACTGATTGTAGTGCTCGGTGCTTCTGCATTCTCACAGCACAGAGGTTCCCTAAAGCAAAGATTGGGAAACCTCCTGTCTGTATCAACATGTTTCTTAAGCAAACTTTCAGCCCTTGAAACARTCATCTTTGCAAGATGAAGTCTCAAGAAACTTAACTTTATTCACTGGGCTGCGCTTTTCCATGCAGGTAGGCACATACATAATGCTGTTCTGTACTAATAAAACATGCAGCTTTGATGGCCGAGGATACAGACATGAAAAGGTATCAGGTATGTGTATGTGTACTGGCTATCAAACCCCACAGTGTCAATATTGGTTTTGCTGCACAGGCTTTCCCCTCCTTCTCCCCCTCTTCAGATCTCTCGGTGTTCAACAAGCTACAGCCTCTCTCGCTTTTTTCCCTAGGATGTATCTGGCTTATGATCTAGTTGATGAAGTAAAATGTCATGTTGATTCCTAAGAACAGCTGCTCTTTAGGAAACAATGATCCTTACTTCAAAAATGATGGGATTCATATCTAATTCAACTCTAAGCAATTCATTCCAACTTGTATTTAGCCTCGACATTTTTTTTGTTTGACAAGTAGAGCGAAGACTCTTCTAACTGAAGAATGATCTTCCATGTGCTTGAAATCCTGTCTCATTTTGCCAGCCATCCCAACTAGTGAAATAAAAGGTATTATCTCTTCCTATAAACCTTGTCTTGCCTGTATGTTTGCAGGGAACCACATTTTGGGTGTGGTAAGGTGGGAATAATTCCCAATAGCAGAGGTTAGGCAAGACATTGTTACTACTCAAGTTGAACCGCTTTTTTATTTTTATTTTTGTATAAAACAGTCTCCTCAAGAGATGAGGGAATTCAGGGACTAGCCACTGCTGTTTGTAACTCAGGTTTCTGGATTTGCAGAAACTTAATTTGCTGAACTACAAGCCTGCCCAATATCCAAGTGCCCAGTGTGTAGTTGTGGTGGGTGAGGAGATTTTATAAAATGCTTGCAGCCAGACAAAGCTGCTTGTGAAGCTGAACGCAGAGGGCAGCCCAGTTCTCTTCTCTCTGTTGACTTGCAGGCTTTGAAAACACAGAAATGTATATTTAAATACTGATAAAGGCATATATCTAAAATTTATTGGAATGTTTATTGAAAATGTCCAGAACACCGAGTAGGAAGATTGCTGTCTGAAAATGGTATTCTCATATACTGTCTTTGAATATTAAGCCCTACTGACTGCGAGAGAAGCTCATAATGTCACAAAGTGATGAGACACAGACACCAGGGCCAAGGCAGGAGTTGCTGGGGCGGGCCGGTGCCGCTGGTAGAGGAACTGCACCACCAGCAGCATTGAGAACATATCGACAATGGCTCTTGAAAGCTGAGAAGTAACTCTGCAGGATTTGTATGCTTTCTATGACTTAAAAAAAAAAAAATCTTTTTCACTGATGCACTTAAAAGAAGTGAGGATGGTGTATGTAATTCTGGGAAAGGAGCTATCTCCTTTAAAAGGGATACTGAGTCTCCCGCAATCCACTAATGCAATGTAATCCAGTAATGCAATGCAGTTTTACTAAACTGTACAAAACTGCAGCAGAAATTGTGCCTATTAAACTTAAAGAAAAAAATCATGAAAAGCGACCAACCCTCCCCAAAACAACCAACCAAAGCCCCGAAGACAAGGCTGATGCGAATCCGCGGCGCCCGCAGCGCTGCCTTTAAGCTGTGTGTCAGCGCCGCTCACCTCGGGCCCGGCCCGGCAGGGGGGCAGCTCTGCCCCGCTCCAAGATGGCGGCGGCGGCGACGCGGGGAGGCGGCGGCCCCGCCCCGCGGCCCCGGCGTGCGCTGAGAGGCGGCGGCGGCGGCAGGAGCGCGGAACATGGCGGCGGGCGGCGGCGGGAGCCGCGCGGATAACGGCTACGGGAGCCAACCGCCGCCGCGGCGCAGGAAGGGCCCGGGCGCGCTGGCCACGGCCTACCTCGTTATCTACAACGTCGTCATGACGGCGGGGTAAGGGGGCGGCTCGCCCCCCCGCCCGCCCGCGGGGGGCGCCTGCACGCGGGGCCGGGGCCGGGCCGGCTTCCCCCGCGCCCGGCGGGGGGTGCGGGCTGCCCCTGCGGCCCGGGGGATCCGGAGCGACGAGGGGCTCCGCGCCGGGCACGCGGGCACACGTGTGCGCGCATGTATCTGTATGTGTGTGTGTGTGTGTGGTCCGCATGGCGCACACGTGCGGCCGGCGCGGGTCGCTGCCCGCCCTGCGCCTTCCCCGTCCCCCGTGCGAGCTCCGGCGGCCGGAGCCCGGCTCGGCTCGGCGCAGCCCGCGGCGGAGCCACCGCCTCCCTCGCTGCCTCCTGCTGTCACTGGTCATGCCCAAACTTTCGGTGAGGGGAAGGAGGAGTATAAATTGCGCTCCCTGCCTCTCATGCTGGACAGCAGTTCCATGCGAATATACGTGAAGTTGTTTTCCTTTCCTTCCTTCAGTCCCAGCCTYTGCAGGTTATAGCGAGAAGCCCGGCAGGGAAAGTGGGCGCTGTGGGGGTCTCCTCCCTTGCGCTGCACCGCGGTGCTGCGTGTCCTCGCCAGATCCTCCGTCCCTCCCGAGCAGAGGCAGCTTGAGCAGCACAAGTGCTTTGGACGAGCRGGGCCGCCGAGAAGGGCCAGTGCGGAGTCTGTGTTCTGCCTCACCTTAACTTACCCCGTAGTTATTTTCTCATCTGGGCGGCCGTGTAGATCATTGTGCTCAACTTAGTTTGTTCTGTGGATCCAACAGTTTTTGGTAGAGAAATGAACCTAAACGCACAGAGTTTACCCATAGTAGTAAATTTAAAAAGCAAAGCTTAGGAGAAAAGAGCCTTAAAATGGATCCTGAATGAGCCCATTTTCTTCTAGATAAATCTGAGTGGGTGGGGAGTCAGGCACACAGACTAGACGTTGCTTCTCCGAGGGGAGATCAATATAGAATTGATATAGATGGCATTTGCATTTACTTCAGTGAGGCAGTTGGGCGAGATGATTCTTATTTTCACTAGTGGCAGAGCTGATGTTATTTTCGCTTATGATGTGGTTACACTATGTAGAACAAAGGTAATTACGGGGAGAGAGCTCAGTTCTTCCAAGGTGCTTGCTACACCTATTGCACAGTAAGTGTATTATTGTGAAATGCAGCTGTTAAGAGGATTTATGGCTTTATATGATATTTKCAGGGTATCCTGCTTATGGAGTGGGATGGTAATTACCCACCGTCTTAATACAGTTTAATCTTTTGTTTGAGAAATCCTTAATTACATGAACAATACAACACAATACTGTCAGTCAGGAGTGCTTTTTTTCCCTTTGTTAGGATGTCTCAGCTGATGTTATAATGTTACCAAGTTAACCTCCTGAGTTGTTCTTTCAAGTAAAAGCACTTGCCTGCTTACTAGGCTGCTGATATTTAATTCACTTATGTTTATTTATAAAACATATCAAAAGCAGCGACAGAAGTTGCAGGAGAAGTGGAAAGATTTTTCTAAAAGTCTTTTTTCTTAATTAGGCCAGTTCTGGATGTTATGAGCTATCTATTTCTTCAAAAGATCTAGAAACATTGAAGTGTTGAAATCTCAGACACAAGTAGCTCACATTCCTTTTTTTTTTTTATTTTTTTTAACTTTGTCATATAAGTCTTGATCAAGGTGTTACCTCGTTTCCTAATTTATACCAAACTTTCTAGAAAATTCCAGCTTTTGGTGGGATGTGCTGCCTTTCTGGGAGTAGTTGTGATTCTGCAGTTTGGGGAGCAAACCTGGGAGTTCTCTTATCTGGGTTTCACATCTCTGCATTGTCACTCACTGCTGCACTTCTGGAGTAGGTTCCTGAGGGCTCTCGCAGAGGACTGGGCTTCAAACGGAGGTGGTTTCTGCCCCCTCGGCCGCTGCTGAAGCGCTGCACAGCGCAGTGTTGGGTGTTTATTGCTTCCTTTTGTAAATACCTTATAATGAAGTAGGTTTTCAGCTGTTGGTTGACAGTTGTTCATGTGGTATTGATACACAGCTGCTGCTGATAATTATTCATTGTCCCATATAAATCAGTGTTCAGTTTAGTTTTCTGCCTCCAGATGACAATTGTTTGTACTGCCTTGTAAAGAGAGCTGTGAAATGAGAGCACCAAAGCCCAAGGTGCCCAGATAATGTGCTGATTACCTTCTTCACTTTGCTTAACTTTCTTCTATTGTCTTCAAATTGGTATTTTCCAGTTATGATATCAAATAGTTTGGCATATGAAGCTTATTCCTGACACATTGTGCAGTATAGAAATTAAAATATCTTTGACTAAAATCACTGATGGTGGGARTGAGGGGAAATGAGACATGACCCATTTGCTGTTGGTGGAGCTAATAAATAAATTTTTGGCATAAATTTTTGATATTGTAATAAACTAATTTCAAGTATCATATTTCCTGTTTTTAGTCAAGTGCTGTAATTCCTATCGGGATAGCAGTAGCTGACAGTGATATAAATAATRAATTTCATAATTATTTCATTCAGCAAGTTGTATCTTTTCTATGTAATAGCTTTGTGAGCGTACAGAGAGATAGTGCAATTTGTACTTAGCAAATTGTGTTCAAATTATGAACTTCAGGGTCCATATCTTCAATAACGAGCTGCTTAGAGTCAAAGCACACTTTCCTTTTYTTTAGCCTCATTCATGCTGTACCTTTGCTATTTTCTCTCTTTGTGTAAATCAATTAAGACCTCAGTAAATGTTTTCCTTATAAATTAAAAAAGGGGAGCAGGCCAAGAGCACATGAAAAACTGTCAAGTCTGAGTAGCTACAAAAAAACCAAGCACTCCTCAACTTGTATTTATGTAATATTCATTTTTCCTTAGTTTATATTAATCAGAGAATGTAGCATTCTAGCTAAGAGTTTATATGAATGGCAGCGCTTATTTAATCAATTATAAGCACCACATATAATGAAGGTCTATCAAGTAGGTCTTTTTAGTGTATAGTGCAGAGCTGGACTCATCCTCCATGTGACAGTGGTGCCTCTTACTGCCATTTTAATCTTTTTTTTTTGTTTGTTTGTTTTGTTTAATTTTTTTTAAGTTGATCTTTCATCTATTCCCCTGCTCTTTTTCTCTGGTCACATTTTTCCTTTGCACTCTTTAAGAATCACAGAAAACGGGCAGAGGTACTAAAAGCTTCAAAACTGAGTAGCCACAGCTTTTAATTTTATGGAGATTAATACTTCAATTGGTATTAAATGCCCTTTGAAGGACAGTAATTGTATTATTGAAAGAAAGAGGTGGTCTTTGAGATCAAGTCATAGATAGGTTGATTCTTCTTGAACTTGGCTATCCAGCAGAGAGGCTGGAAGAAGGCAAGCAGGAAGCTTGAACAGCTTTGAGAGCCATTTATTTTACCAGCTGAGTTTCAATTAAGGTGAAAACAAGCGTGCAACAAGGAACTCTTATCTGCTGCCTCCTGAGAAGTTGCTCAAWTTATCTAAGTTTCTCAGCAAACATAGAAGATGAGGTAAAAGCAAAAACTGACAGTTAGGAACAGGAGACTATCAACTTGCTGTTAGCTACTGGAGTGTTAGTCAGCGGTACAAAGAGTGTCTGTTAACTATTCTATCTGCTGGTTTAGTCTACTTTGAAGTCCGAATACCAAATTAATGTGATTCTTTCTTTGTACCAACCATTGGTGAACGTTTTCTGTCTTTTGGTTTTATAAGACAGCTTAAGCAGAAATACAACTCTGTATAAGTCAGAGGGAGCAGCAGACCCTGCTAGAGGAGGGGGAGCCACACAAATGATCCTCTAGATCCCCTTGCTCTTCCACCTGAACAGCTAGGCCGAAAGGGAGTGTCTGCTTGCAGGCTGAGGCGTGCCAGGTCATTCATTTCAGTCAGCTTATTCTGCTTGAATTTGTGATTCCTTTGTCTGTAAACTGCCCCACAAGCAAGCACAATACATCTCCATTAATGCTTTCCTTGTGGCTGACCTGACTTAGTGTGCTGTAAAATACTTTTCAGGATTTTTATGTGCMTTGTCAATTCCTAGCTGCATTTTTTTAAAGATTAACTATGACAAATATTGATATAGGCTTTTGTTACATAGGCCTAGTTTATTTGTTGTTTACGAAGAAAAGCAGGGATAGGAGTGGCCAACATTACCCGCAAGGCTTTAGCTAATAGGCTTAGTTATATTGTAGTTACTTATTAATAACTTCTTAATCATAAAAAGCAGTTAAGCTGATGGAGTATCATAGACTAAGAGCATATTTTGAACTGAAACATGAAAATGGATGCCTTCTAGATCTYGATTACTGTATTGCATCAAGAATCTATGATTGGCAGGAAATGGTTTGCTGCTTAAGCTAAACAAAATGTGATGTCAGTCTTAAATATCATTAACAACTTCCATAATTAAATACAGCTCAATAGAAAAAGAAATTTACATRTAGAGATATTGATGTTATGATGGTGCTCTAAGGTATTTTTAAAAACATATAATATTTAATTTACATTTGCAGGGAACCCAGATGTATTTAATGCTTTCAGTGTTGCCAAGTAAGCAGGAAGTTGATATTGGGGCCATTGTATGCCTATTGCCTTACTGCATAATGAGTTAGCTAATAAAGATTAGAGATAATTTGCATGTGTGCTCTACTTAGTTTCTCCTTATCTTTGACATTTTTTCTGTCTTSTTTCAGATGGCTTGTGATTGCAGTTGGTCTAGTTCGAGCATACCTGGCTAAAGGTAGCTACCACAGCCTTTACTATTCAATAGAAAAGCCTCTGAAGTTCTTCCAAACTGGAGCTTTACTTGAGGTAGGTAGCAACTTCCTCCACAGTGTTCAGTTTTACTAATGTTTCTGTCAGAGCTTCCTATGTAATGTGGTGTTTTTTTTTTTTTTTTTAAATTAGCATTATAGAGTGGTTTAAAGCTAAACGTAAATTAATTATCTGTTTGAGGTATTTCTTTTCAGCAGTCCAGAAGCTTACTGTTCTGTTTAGCTGGAGCATTGAAGCTAAATATTAAGTTCAATTTTTGAAATAAAAATATAGAAGCTTAAGCAGTAGTAATAGAGCTAAATATACTTTTGAATTACTGCATTGGGCATGTTGATGATTTGAATTTTTCTTTTTGTTCTAGATTCTGCACTGTGCATTTGGTAAGCTTTCAAATTTTGTTTTATTATTTTTATAGAAAACTTTTAACAATATGTTGTCATGAAACAAATGGTCTGTAAATTGCTGACTTTAATTCTTGCTTCATTCCATCTTTTCTGCTTTAAATATTCTTTTCTTAATAAATAATTTTGCAAGTTAAATCACATAGGAAATGCAAATTAATGCAAATTAAATCAAATAGGAAAATAGTACAGTAGGTTGTCAATTACCTTGACATTATTTCAATCTAAATCCTTCCACATGCTTCAAATCATACATTTATAAATCAATCTATTACAGTGGGTTGTGATTCTCTGTATCATCTATAATTTTACATAGCAGACTCTTTCCTCAAATAATATTTATATCTGGAAATGATTAAAATTCCAATAAAATATCATGCCAAGCACTAGACTTTTCCCACGTCCACTGAGTACAGGCAAGCATTCCAAAATTAGGAAGAGCGAAACCACTGAGTATTCCAGATTTGGCTAGGAGTAAATATACTTAAATGAAGCTAAGAGAGTAAGGATTATCTGAGACTGGAGTTTATCTTTCCTTTTAGTCTAGTATTGTGAGGTTGATTCATTAGCCAAGTAGCACAGTCTTAACTGGGTATTAGTGACCTGCAGCCAGTAGCAGTGCTGTGTTTCAGGAACCTTATGGCCAGGTGATGAGCTACAGTCCTGTGTGCTTTATTAATCTTCATAAACAGTGAATGGTTCGGCCTCAGTGTTTGGATGTTTGGTTTGTAGAACATGTGATGGGTATAGATATCTGCAATATCTACTGATATTCAGCAACTTCTGCTAAAGTGCTGTAAAAGGCAGCAGCATGTGTCTGCACTGCTTWGCTTAATTCTGATTCTTCTGAACAATCCAGCCTTTGCAAAGAGACAGTCTTATGTTCAGATATTTGAAACCAGAGGACAAACTATTGTGCTTCATCTCGTATCTGGGTGTTTGTTAGCTGCCATTTCAGGAGTTGATAAGATTGTATTAAGGCTCTTAAAGCTTCAGCTACAAAAGCTGATTTTTTTTTTTTTTTTTTTTTTGCATATCACACAAACCTTGTACAAGCTGTAGGCTGTATCGCTCAGGGATGACTGTGCCCACGCTGATTTCCTGTGTAAAAGGTTTTTCTGAATAACCAAATATCATGTTCATAAAGTTGCCAGCAGAGGGCAGTCTAATTCTGTGTTTGGTGATGGAGCTCTTGCCTTCCCATGTACCTTAGTTACTCTGAAAATGTTGTTTTATGAAGGGCAGTTTGTATGTTCACAGATCATCCTAAAAAAAGAATACTAGGTGTTCTTCAAATTGATGAAAATGGTTCTTGGAGCATCTCTCCATAGTTTAATTTAAGGGAAATCACATGCTACTAAAGTTTGACAACTTCAATTTTCTGAGGTTCTTTAGAAAAAAATCTGCAGAATAGATGTTTGGTGCTCTCCTGAGGGTTGTTTCACCTCTTTTATCTCAAAAACAATGCTTTTCGTAGTTATTTCCAAGTGATATCTTCTGGACAGTTTGTTTCACGTCATTATAATCATACAATGAGATTATTTACACACTTCCTTCTTAGTTTAAGTAGAATGTATTTGTGCCCGTGCAGATTGTCTTTATCTTGGATATTCTAACATAGGTGTTACAGTTCAGCATCTGAGCCTTTAGCTATTTTAGTCACTTCAAAAAATTAGAGGTATCAGCTAATAAAACTAATACAACATTAATGAATAGGAGTGTATGATATAGTTTGCTTCTGCTGTCAGAGATCTTTTTAATCCTGCCTTGCTTTATTAAATTTCAATTACTATTTTCCCCAAATTATTCATACTCACTTCAAAAATATTTCATAGTCTAAATTTTGACAAATTTTGCACCAGATAGATAAAAAGACAAGATGATTAACCTTAATTATAAATTAAAATAGTTTATAATTAAATAATACTTGACTGAAATCTGCAAGGAAATGCTTTTTTACCATTCTAGATCTGTAATACAGTAGCATCAGTGCTATGAAACTCTGGTTTCTTGAGCTRAGCTCTGATGTCTACATTTATCAGTACTAGTTTGAAGAAAGAACTGGATTACCTTTCTTACCAAGCAGTGAACTGCAGCACAGCTAGTCTTGTGTTTCCACCTCTGGTGCTGCTGCAGARCAAGGATCAAGATGCCTCTGTCCCAGGTTAAGGATCCTGGATGAGTTCATTTGAGGTGTGGATCCATTTAGCCCATGTTGTCCTCAGTCTGTCAATAGAGAGCGCCATTAATGGAGTGTTGCAATATTTTGCAGCAATGTAAATCTTCATTTTTGCTAGCAAAGTTACTACAGAAATACTAATTTTATGATAGTTGTCCCTGGACTTTTTTATTAATAAAGCAGGGATTTTTTTTTGCCAAATAAAATGAGGTTCTTTGCAGAGCTAGTTACACTGCTGCTATTTGCTCTAGTATAATTTCTGAATCTTATAGCTAATCAGTTTGGCACTTCCAAGGAATGTTCTAGGTATTAGGGGGAAGAAATCTTAATCTGATATACAAACTTCCCTGTAAGGAGAAATGGGAAACTTACAGGTTCTTTGGCCTCTGGTAAGCTAATTACTGTAACTAGAGCACTGATTTTCTGTAGACAGAAGAGCTTTGCCATGAAAGGTGGCAGTGCTACCAGCATAACTTTTTTTTTTTTTTTTTTTTTTTTTTTTTTTTTTTTTTTTTTTTTTTCCAGAGCTCTGGGCAAAGCTTTCTTGCTGCCTGCTTCTGGACTAGAGCCTTCTGTTGGCCAAGTCGTGCTGTAGCATGTACTGTATTGAATAAATGGTGACAGATGTTCATAATATTGTCTGTCAGGTACTTTTTCAGTGTAATTAGGAAATAAACAGAGGCAAGTAGAGTTTATAGAGAGTTGTAGCTAGTGAGTCAATCAGTTGGATCTCCTGTTTTTTGATATAGTTTGGCATCATCTAGGCCCAAATGAAAAACATTGTTTATCTCTCACTTCTGAGATAAACTGGCTTTCTACATGGTCTTTTTGACATATTTATAGAGTCTTTTGCATAAACATTGAATAAGATATTTTGCTAAGCAAGGAATCACGTCTTACATTCTGGGTTAGTGTTAGTGCTATTCTGGGTTAGTGTAATTTAGTGCTAAGCTTTTGTGAATAAGTCTAGAGACTACTGAGGATATTCAGCAGTTCTTACCCTTACATATGAAAACCTGTTTAGAGAAAATATGTTCCTCCCTCCCTCCYGGTCACAGTTTTCCTATGAACAGCAAGATCTAAAAAGACCATCATATTGTAGGTGTGTGCCGTTAGTGAGTGCAGATTATGAGCTTTTATTGTAGCCCCTTATTCTGCCCCTGAGATTTTTGCATCAAAGAAKGCATGACAAAATTGGAGAGGTGTTTGTAGGACTTTTCCCTTTCTACTGCTTCCCTACCCATGCGCCCYCTCCCCCCACCACACACACACAACAACAAAAAAAGCAGGAGGGGAACACGTAATAGTAGCTTTCTGACCGAAAATCTAGTGAAATTTGTTTTTGGCTTTTCTTATTCTTCCTTTCATTTCTTGTTTCCAATTTGGTCTTTACTTGTTTCTTAGGCTTTTGTGCTGCTTGCTGTGATTTGCATTAATTTTAGAAGCACTCTTGACTGTATTTTAGAAGCTGTAACTGCTCTTGCACTTGTCTTCATCATGGTATTTGAAGAAGATAGAACTATGTGCCATGAAGTTTAGAAATTGGGTGTAATCTTGCAGTCTAAAACTATCTTGCTTTATCAGACCTGGGTATGTAGACCCATTTTATATTGGTTTGATCAGCACCTTAGAAATTGCTCAGAAATAATAGAAATCAGCTGCCTTGARAAATTTTTAAAGATTGTTTCTTTACCTACCAATGCATGAAGTATCCCTTGTTTAAAACAAACTATAGGAATTATAAGTCATCTTTAACAGAGTATTGGATAGCTCAGGGGTTCTTCAAATCGGTTCAATTTTGTTTGCTGGTTTTTGGGAAACATGCTTCAAGATGTGTGTGCATATATATTTTTAAAGCTTTTAAATCACAATATTGCAGATTCTCTTAAATATTTCAATCACAATATTACAGATTGTCTTAAATATTTTAATCAGCTTTTATTCAAAGACTGTATCYCAAAAGCTATTTGATTAAAACTATTTCATATTGTTCAGGCATTTTGTGTATTGAGGAATGTCCGGAGTTATAACAAGGGCAATTACTTTTATTCTCATTTTGATGTACAAAGTTTTGGTCAGGAGATTCTATTTTGTTAGGCTATATAAACACACTATGAAACAGACTTTGTGATCTCAAATTGAAAAAATTCTTCATTTCCAAAATATCAAATAATCGGAGTTTTGTTTAGTTGACTGTATTTTACTCGCTTAGATATTAGGCGATATTCACTAATTGGAAAGTATTTTCCAGGCATTGTTCCATCTTCTGTTGTCTTGACTGCTTTCCAAGTGATGTCAAGGGTTTTCCTGACCTGGGCAGTAACACACAGTGTAAAAGAGGTAAGTTAAGCTGCAAAATAGATTGAAAAAGACCCATGCTAAAAAGCAAGTGTTGATTGCTACATTGTTTTCCTTAGAAATATTTTTTGCTTTATCCCAACATGTGGAATTGTTTATGTGAGTCGGAGAATAAGAATAAATGTATCTGATCTCATCAGTCCATGTCAACTAGGTAAATTGAGATCTATCTTGTGCTGTAAGACATCTCTTCCTGAATAGCTTTTGCAGTATTACTGAAAATTGAAGAGGTTCCAGTGTGTAATATGGACCGCAGCATCCTGGTATTGTCATAGTCAATTCACTACTGTCATCTTTCATACTCGACTTACTTTTCTTATATCATTGCATGTGGAAGCTTCCACTCAACTGTTTGTCCGTAGCCAAGCTTAGGAGTTCTCAGTCACAATGTTCCCCTCTGTCCTTTATTCAGTTTTCATACATTATCAGCGTAGGTGTGAGTCTAGGTGTCTTTTGTCGTTGTTAACCACAGCAAATACTGTTGTTATTTCATACAAGTTCCTGAAGAATCTTCTAGAATCAGTCTAGTTCCCAACTGGCAAGTTCTTCCAAACCTGAATCTGTTACGTACGTCATCTGTTTACATATATGATACAGATCATGCCAGGTATGGTACAATTCTGCTGTTACTTTAGCTAACTGATCTKATTGTCCTGTTAAAGAAAAATAGCCTTGATGCCATTGTCAATAGCATGTCGGAACAAATCACGGTTGCCTGAAAGAAGTGAAAGATACCTAATGTCTTACATGGAAGATGTTTTGTGACTTGACATGGAGAATATCATAAGGAGCTTGTCCCTTTCCCCCAAGTCTTTGGGGAAGCTCCTATCTCTTCTTTATCCCAGCATCTGTTGATCAGAGCTTTCATCCATGCTGATAAGTAACATATATCACCGTAGTTCCTAATAGTTAACTGCCCTTTYTTATATAATGATGCTTGTTCTTGTGAACCCTTCAGTTTTTATTATGGAAAATTGTTACTTTTCTTAAAAACACAATCCCTTACGTAGGTTTCTCCTGATTTATTTCACTTGTGATGGGAAAAAATATACTTCAGTTAATTCAGACTCTGAAGATAAAYGCTGTATTTGCAAGAAGAAAATATGATCCCAAGACATTAGATCTTAGATACATATATAAAAGTTAAAGAAAAAAACCCCATAGTTTTGCTTGTTATCTATTGTTTGTAGTTGTATAATGTTGGATGTCACAGTGCATGGTAAAGAACAGAAATGGGAAGGTGAACCTTTCCCCAACCCCCAAACAAAACCTACCCAAACTAAAATGCATCTTATTTCAGAAGGATGTATTTAAAGTGTCACTAGTGTTCTACTTTTTCTAAAGGACTGTTGGCACAGTTGAGCTCCATGGTGAAGTCCAGGATTAAATTCTCACACAGCTTTATGGAACTTGTAAGCTATGCAGTTGCATGATGAGGTTCTTGTAAAATAAAACTTAGTTTTTCTCGTTTAACTTTTTGAGGATCATTTAATATCTTGCTTCTCCAGACTGCTTTTATATGTATTATAACTGAAAGAAGAAACATTAGTATTGCATCTTTCCTCTGTGTCAGAATACATTTCTGGAGACTTGATGTGATTTGACGCATGCTTCCTGCCACTAACATGCTTTTACTTTTGTTTAGTGCTGACATTTTCATAAATTCAGCATTTATTGTAAAGTATTTGTAATRAATGTTAAAGCATGGCAGACTTCTTGTAAGTACTGTGCACTTCTGGATGTAGCCAAGAGATTTCCCCTTACCTTCATCACATGATAAATATCATCACATAAGTAGCTTTTAGCTCCGTGCAGGAAGGCCTAGCATGTCATACAATACTTGTAGCCCATTTTTTTTTGTTCATTTTACTATTCCTTATATGAAGGAAGGAGGAGAATGAGGAGACTCAAGTGAAGGGCTGCATGCAAATAACCATAGAAGAGTGATAGGGATCCTTTTTTGAATATATATGTGAAAATAAGGTAATCCAATAACATTCTGGGGCCCTTCATGGAGTTCAGTGTTGGACCCAGTCCTTGCACRTAACTATGATGTCACTATTGGTACCTTTTCAAGTTATCAAATTTGTTTCGGTTACAAAGCTCAAAGTAAGGTATTTATTTAGAGGTACCTTTCTAGAATACAGTGAAATTACATCAAGGAGTGGTGCGGAAAAGACATTACARCATATTGAATGGGTAATTAAGACGCTGACATCTGCAGCTGTGAACTTGACATCTTCCATCAGTAATAAGCCATACTTAGAGAAGAGCATTTTATTTTAGAATATTTTTTAAGGTTGAGTTGAAGTAAAAAGAGTCTGTATTGAAAGTTCAGAACTCTAAAAGTTGACAGGCAATTGCAGTTGGCAAACCTGATTCATTACTGCTTTACATCTATGTGAAATTTGAGTAATCCTGTACAGTGCAAGTGTCTGTCAGGCCTTTTATGCCTACTCTGAATCTTCCTTTTGTAATTTTTTATTAATGTGCAACAGAGCAGAGGGAGATATACTATTCCATCATTAGGGCTGCATTGTGCCACTGTTTTATTCTTTTGTGTTGGTTTCCTTTGTGCTTAGCTGAAATTTTCTGAAAATAATTTGTGAAATATTGCACAATTTGAAATTTGTAGAATTTCTGTCTTTCAAACATTGTGTTATATCTTTGATAACTTTTCATGCATAATGAGAGTGGCAAAAGAGGCTTCATTTAGCCAATTCCCAATTCTAAATCTCATCTTTGTATGTTAAAAGGTTGTGGATTTTCATTTCTTTCAGAAATTTCTTGCTTGCTATTCATAATCATGAAGATGAGGTAAAATATATTCAAGTCCCTGCTCAATAATAAAATCAGTTGAAGCACATGCCAAAATTTATGTTGATGTTATGATTTACCCTAATTAAGGTAGCTGGACAAATAAGTCATAAGCTCTAAAATATACTCTGACTTGAACCCCTCCTTCAAAGTTTGTCATGAGAAGGCGGAAGAAAAGTTGAGTTCTTAAGGCAAAACATGGTGTTACAGTTTTTGAAGAGCCTGCTGTTGATCTGTTTGCACTATCCCTTGTTTCAGCTTGGAAGAGAAATGATACGCATGCAGCACTAGCAGTAGTTGCTTCTAAGTAAAGAAGTCTCTTGAGCATTTCTTCTGTAAATCAGTCCCCTGGGGTTCAGTAATGTGCATTTTGGACACCTTTTTTTTTTTTTGAAATGACATCTAGCAGATCTGTTCTAGGAAGTTAATCTTTAAATGATAAACTATGGAGGATAATTAAAATATGATGATAAAATACAGAGTCCTTACATAAAGACTAACAAGGTATGGTCTGTATTTCTAGTTAAAAGATGTGACCTGTTAAGGTTACTTAATTGTGTGAACTCTTTTAGTAATTTCCAAATATAATTCTATTAAACTAGATTGCGATGACTAAACTTTGCAAAGTAGTGCTACAGAAGTCCTGTGATAGAATTGGATTGTAATTGCTGTGTTTCCTTCTTCTCAATTCATCACTTACTGTTAGCATCATAGTTTCTTGGATCCTGTTGTCCTCAGTGATATCTTCAGGTGGTGCCCTAAACAATAAATTTGATTGGTTTTACTGACTTCTGTAGGTAGGGAAAGAAGTGCAGCATCAAAGGGGAGACTGGGGTCTGTCATTTTATTTGCAGAAGACGACACAGACACTTAGATGAGTTCATTAAGCTGCTAGTTGTGATATGACCAGAAGGTGCAGCTCTTGAGTCTTTGGGAAGCATGTTGCTTTTGGGGGAATAGCATAATCTGAAGTGCTGCTAACTGTCTCAGACTGAGAACTGAGCCTTACTTATCATGCAGGCCCAAAAGAGGAGTAGGATCCTGTAGAAATACATAGACAGGTTTCTTCTTTAAAGAAAAAGCTGGCACTTTATTCCTTTGTGATACTGTAAGGGAGATTAATATGTAGACAAATTGTCAGTTTCATTTGGAAAAAAATCTGCAGCAAAATACATTTGCTGCAAAATGCAATGGAAGTGACTTGAAGTCCTGTAGGCAATGTCTTATGTAGTATAAAACCAGTTTAAATATATATTTTTATGTAATTCTTTGTGTTTTGTAGTCTCTGTAATAGAGAGCTTTGTTAGTCTTAATGAGCATTTTTACAATACATGACCAACCCCTTATTTSAAAAGGTGTTTTTTATATATATAAACACACATGCATGCACACGTGCATACACACACACATATATTTTTTTAAAAGGATTTTTTTTGCATGTACTTTGCCCAGAGTGAATAGGACTTACCACCTGCAGTACACCTATTGACTTTCTTTCCACCCTTTTTGAGAGTGAAAGAAAAAAAAATGCAGGCACACCTGTGGTTGAGCTTTTTTTTTTTTTTTTTTTTCTCCTACAGTCCAGTGAATTTGAATGACACTTCACAACRTGCTTCTGTTATGAGTGAGGGGAAATCGAGAGCTGCATAAAAATATATTTGTGTTCTCGTGCATTTATAGTGTGGTTATGCAGCCCCATATACTTTTTCATAACTGCCATTCTGTTTCAAATTTAGGTCAAAACTATACTCCCAAATAAAAGGTTTCATTTTAAAATACCATATGCTTCTGGATACTAACTTTCAAAATATAAATGGCTGGTTCAGTAGTGTGCGAGTAAAATAATGGCTCAAAGAGGTACAGAGCAGTGGAATTTAATGATGTCCTAAATGTAATGCTAGAGGAACAATGCTGAATGCAGTAACCAGGAAAAGGAGCAGGGAGCTGTGAAGCAGGCAGCTGTCAAGCTTACCTGAGTTGTGACAGGGAAAATCTGAGTGTCTCTGCAGCCTGTTTCCTTGTATTAGCTGTCTTCTTGGTGTCCAGCATTAGGATCTAGGTCCTCATCTGGGGAGAAAGAAAGCAGTGTTCCTGGTAGTCAGAAATAATGCTGACTAGGACTGGAGCATACAGTTTAAAACAGATCTCATGTTAGATTAATGCTTTAAGCTTCTTCTCTGCTTACAACACTAGGAAGCAATCACAGGATCAGAGTAGAAGTACTGTGTAGGAATGGGAAGAGTTGTTAAGTTGTTCTTGGTATTTTAAGAATTTCTTGCAATAATTGTGTTGTACAGAACAAGGGRTCTTAACTTACCTGATAACTGGAACTATTCTTAAGCCAAGCAGAAAAAATATAGAGCATGATATGAGTGTGGGGCGCTTTTTCTGTTTTGCTTTTTGTTTTTGCTGTTGATACTAATGTTGCTTTTAAGCTCATTCTTGGAATCTTTTTTCTGAAATGATGCAGTAAATTAATCCATAGGAATTGATATATGTGTGTGGTTTTATTCTTTCTTCCTCTTCTTATCTACCAAGTCATTAGCAACACCTGATAGGAGCTTCTCTTTTTAACAGGTACAAACTGAAGATAGCGTCCTGTTGTTTGTTGTGGCCTGGACAATCACTGAGATCATCCGTTACTCTTTTTATACGTTTAGCTTATTAAACCATCTCCCTTACCTCATCAAGTGGGCCAGGTATGAGGTATAAAAAAAGTTATAAAMCTTAAAATACTGGTTTGACAGAAATATTTATTTTCTAAAACAGCTGCAGTAAAAATAAATTAATCGGATAAAGCAATTACCACCAGCTAGTATTTGTGAACATGATTCTTCTTTCCAGCAATTTTCCTGGTTAATATTTATCAGATGCTGAAAAGCTGAAGCCTTAGTTGGTCAAAATTCAATGCCATTTACAAAGTGATTGTGTTTGTTCAGAAACTTGACTTCTAAAAATAAGGAGAGAAATCTAAAAATAAGGAGACAAAGAGCTTGTTACTTTTTCTTTTCTTTTTTTTTTAAGCATATCTGTGTCTAACTATTGTAACTGAAAATAACCATAAGCTCCTTGATTTATATTGATAGTACTTTTTTTTTAAGTAACATAACAACTTCTAACAGCATTTGGAAGTCAGAGTAAGTGGGGGGTCATTTTAAGAGAACTTTCAGCTTCGCAAAAGGGAATCTTAAAATAATTAAAACTGAACATTTTACCTTGGAGTMATTTACATACTTTATAATACTCTAATGAATTAAGGATTAAGGGAAATAAATATTGGGTAGAAACTTTAAAAATTTGAATACCTGTAAGAGAATTTAACAAATACTTTGTAGGAGTTTGTCATGASTTTTAATCCTTTCCTTAAATATTTTGTTCTAGGTACACTCTATTTATAGTATTGTATCCAATGGGAGTTTCAGGCGAATTGCTCACCATATACGCTGCATTACCCTTCGTCAGACAGTCTGGCTTGTATTCCATTAGTTTACCTAACAAGTACAATTTTTCTTTTGACTACTATACATTCCTGATTCTGATTATGATCTCTTACATTCCAAGTAAGTATGAATTTGTTAGCTTTTTTTAATGCTAAAAGCAGTTTGAGGAAAAGCTTTGGGATTAAATTATACATAAATTTAACAAAGCACAATGTTTTTGTAATATACTAAGGGCTTTTTTTTTTAATAAATGAAATGAATAATGAGAATTACCYAAAGAAAAAAGCTTAGAGTTAAAATATCAAGTATTAATTTCTGCTAACACATGTACTAGTTGTACTAGTACTTGTTGACTTCTGTCTGGCACATGCTGACTTCTTAATTTTTGTCTTAAATTCTTTCCTTAATTTTTAAATCTAAAGAATTTTAGGACAACAAATGTTAAACAATCTGTTAGAATTTGGTTGATTTTCAGGAGAAGAAACATTTCTTTTCCACTGATTGCTAGGAAGCATCTCTTTAAATACCTTGAATAGAGATAGTCTCAAATAGAAGTGTATGTGAGCAATGCAGTGATCAAGTTGCTGTTGTTTGTTGTCTCTGTAGTTGTCTTTATCTGAAACTTGTTTGAGCAGAATGATGAATCACATACTTAAGATTTAAATTTTAACATTGTGGTATTCTATAGTAAGTACTTTCTCAGTGAATTATTTTGTAATTCTGATCTCAGTTGATAGATTTCTTCATCTGTTCTTAAAAATGCTTTCCATTCGCTGGTGCTTCCCTGCCCCTCCTCCAAAAATGTCAATATTACTAACTCCAAGGAAGCAGAATAGTATCTTTTGTTTCAGTCAAAGTAAATATGATTTTTATTTCCCTTGGACTAGCTCGGTCACAGTTGACAGGTTATGTGGGAAAGAAGGAAACCCACTTAGCAACAATTTTAAGCTTTTTTTTCTCCTCTAAAATACCTAGTGTGACAGACTACTACTACTTCTCTATAGTTAAGACATTTTGTGTGATCCGTTTGTCAGATGTGTAACTTGAGTGTAGTCTCTTCTTAATCCTTTTTTTTAATCATTATGGTGAATTGATATGTTAACTTCAAGAAACAAAAATAAGTGAATGATACTATTACTTTGGCATAAATATTCCCAGGTGCTTTTCTGCATGACAGAATAGCCTGTGGTATTCAGGAGATGCAAGAAGATGAACTTTTGTTGCATTTGTTCTGATTACACCACATATCCGTTGTTCCTTGATAAAGGCTCCCTGTGTGTGGAGTTTGTCTTTGGACTCCCTGAACATCTTGAAAATTTGCGGAATGCAAATATTGCAGAAAGAGCAAGCTTTGAAAGCTGATGTTGAAAACTGAGATTAACCTTCCTGATGGCGATAAGCGATGAAATGCAATGAATACCTATCTGTCAGAGTTGATATTGTGCMAAAAAAAAGATGTCATTAAATTATCTGCATAAAGGATCTCAGTTATGAATGAGTACTGAATTTATGTAGAATTGTAATGGAAACACCATGTGGTTCTGTATTACTGTTTCTGACCAACTGAATTGACTACTTAACACTGGCAGAGTGATATAAACTGAAAATCAAGATAGGGGGAAATTTCTAGGAAATGAAATGCAAGGTGAAGAAAGAAAAAAATGTCAACTTGAAACAAATAGTAAATATTTTAGTATGCTATACAGTCTTTGGTCTACATTTATAACAAGCATTTGGTGTGGATATAACCAATGTAATCCAGGCTGTAGCTGACCTTGTTTAGTTTTCATATGGTTCAAAGGTGAAGGTTAGAGTTTAATGGCAGTCTTTTACTGTTCATGTATATAGACTTTCCATCTTCCATTTTATTCTTCTCAAACATACTATGTAATGCAGCCTTAGAAGAGGAGGAAAGAAGCTTTGTGTAGAGCATAGAGTGGCAGGTTAGAAAGGTACCTWTTTAGGGGCAGTTTCTTGGATCCTGAAAAACGGACACTAAAACTGTAAGGAGAGAAACTATTCTGAAAATGCYATCCTTTTGGAAAGAATTGCATTCCTTATGGTGCCTTTTTTGTTCCTTGCAAAGTATTTCCTTTCTGTTGTATGTCATCCTGCTTTTACATGCAGAGTTAATTAGAAAAGAAGGTAATTAGACATTTAATTCAAAATTAATTGCTCTGGCAAAAAATAAATCGTACACAGTAAAGTCTGAGAACTATATTATTTCCTTAAAAGACAGTAAATGATAYTGGTAGAAAGTGAATAAGCATGTTTTATTTTCAAAGAAAATTGGTGACCTTGAATATGTGACTGTGCATCTTGCGTTGACACAAAAACCTGACTGCATACTTTATTTACTTATGTTTGTTTTCTCTTCAGTCTTTCCTCAGCTGTATTTTCACATGCTACATCAGAGGAGAAAGGTACTTTCCCACATTGAGGAACACAAGAAATCGGAGTAATTTCAACTCTTTTTCAGAACTTTTCAAACATCAAAATGCTGCAGAATTTTTCAATACTCAGCACGTTTATAGAGAATATACCAAGATAAACTAAGTCAGAGGTAAAAGACCCATAATTTAGCAAGAATAACCAATATCCTAATTTCACTGAAATTCCACAGGGTAAAACAATGAAATATCTTTCAGCTTGCAATGCTTCAGAAAACTTGTACACTTTAAATGGCTTCGGCAGTTAGCATATTACTTTTCCTTAAATGATATGCTGAATTGTTTTCAGTTATTACTAAATGCCTGAGGGTTACAGTATGAGTGATGAAGTTGTACCCACTAAATGCTTGAATTAGGATTATATTACTGGTATCTTTATTATTTCTTTTAAGTGCTTGACTGCATGCCAGAAATTGTATGTATTGCTGTGGAAGCAAACAATATGCTCTGGAATGCTTTAGGATTTTTGTCAGARACTCCAGTGGAGAATGTAACCCAGGCAGACTGTTCAAATTCAGGAAGTGAGGTTGGGATTTTAAAAGGCAATGGAAAGAGGAACTAGAAGACATTTATGGAAAATAAAGGATTCTTCAGGAATTTAAATACTAGAGTGTCTGACCAGAGTATGTTTTCTGAAGATCTTGTTTAAGCTGATAACTCAAATGCAAATCCAGGGGCTAAAATGCTGATCTGATACACAAAACCTCTTCGTAAGTACTGCAGCCTTAGATATTTTTTGATTTTTTTTGAACATAGATTAATATTTATCATAGTATCTCTCATGACATCAATATTGAAGATGAACAATATAGGCACGCAAGTCAACCAGAAACATAGATAGTTCTTTTTGACTTTATATTTAATCATCTCTAATAACTATGAACTAGCTCAGTAGTGCTCATCTTTCTAAGTTGAGGACTATTTATATACTGTAGAATCATTTGAGGGCCTTGTGCTTTAACATGTCTTTTCTCAAGTGACTAATATGTATCACTCTGGCATATCCAAACAGGCAGTTCTAGACGCTCTGCTTCTGAAACGYTGCGCAAAATTAACTCATAAGCTTCTTTTTTGAAAGCAAGTCTCTCATGTTACATGCTGCTTTTGAAGGTTGGATAAGCCTTCTCTCATCTGTTTGAGAGAGCAGAAGAGTGCAGAAAGGCAAACTTACCTAGGTGCTTACTCTGGTGTCTAGAGCCAMACCTTCCCAAGGAAAGGTAAAGCAGACGATGAGAGAGTGGGGAATGTGGCAGGCCAGGATGTCTTAGTGCTGTGGGAGCAGTGGCCTGAGTTAGGAACAAACTGTGAGCCGAGGGCCAGCAACGAGGGGAGCGGGGAAATGAGCAAACATTCAAGCAAATGCAAAAGGAAATGCGGAGTATGGACTGTGCTCTCTTATTTACTGATTGCCCAGGTCCTACATTTACCTCTTCAGAGCTACCTGATACCAAGAGTAGGGCTTCTCTGTCTTCCCTCTTGTAACATCGTGATTCAGTGCACAAGTGAGATGTGGTTACTGACCTTGTGCCATGCTTGCCAGCATCTTCCCCATCCTCAGCCCACCTCTGTGTCCCAGGATGCTGATGCATGGCAGTTTTTCCCATGTGGGGCAGCATGTTTTAAGTTGGTAGCCTCTCTGCTCCAGCCATTAGAGAGCTAGATTTACAATTACTTTTGTTTTACATATCAAAGCTCTGTTAAAAACAAAACCAAAAGAGACTACTTTGCTTTTTTTTTTTTTCTGTCATTCATTTTCTTACCTCTGTCAGAAAGTTTAAATTTTCCTAGCACTCAGTAGTGTGCTGAATACCTATCCTGCTAAACGCAAATAGGACTACTTTAAATAAGGAGSGGTAAGAGACAATAATGCTCTTTGCTTCTATTTTAAGCAGCCTTCTATGGACAGTTTTTGGATGTAATCAGAAATGCTATAGAGACATGCAGCCTAAAAGTGGCTTTGAATTGAGACACAATTCATTYCTCTGTTAGACTGTGTTCTGGTAATATGAGAAATACTGCATTCTATTCATCGTTTCAAGATGTATATGTCACCTTTGAACAATACATCTCCTTTTGCTTATGCTTATTTTCTGTTATTAGTGACAGTGTTTCTGAAAGACGTCATTTAAAATCTGATTTCATGTGCTACTGGATGTTGTGGGTACTCTGCTCCCATTTTTTTTTCTTGATTTGTATATCTGAATATAAGATCTGAATTCAAGTTGGAGTTGCAGGTTAGAGCAGGGAGAGAGAAATGTATATATAGTGTTATGTGAAACAGATTTATAGGTACCTAGATGGAAAGATGTAGCACAAATCTGTAGCATTTGGCCTGAGAAGCAGAGAATTGCCCATAGGGAGAAGACTTGAACAGCTAACCTCTTTACTGAGTAAGTTTTATTTTGGAATAAGTACTTCCATTGAAAATGTTAATTTACTGCAAATAAACTGTATTATTTTTAAAGGTATATGGCATTTATTTCCCTTCTAAAAAGAAAAGAAATTGTTTTGAAGGTAAGAAATGGCTAAGAAAAAATAGTTGATTTTAAAAACCTTACAGTCTGAATGCAATTASTATAGAAAGATTCTTGCATTAATGATTGCAATGTTTTTTAAAGTTAAACTTTTATACAAATCACTGGAAAGTGATCTTGAATAAGATACTGATTTGGGTCACACGTGTACACGTGTTTTGTTTTGTTTTTGTTTTTTCCTTCATGAAATGATATTAAATGTCCTCATCTATCAGTGAAGTTATAATGGGATGTAGGTGAACTTTATAATGGAAGCTTTGATCAGTGCTCTTTCTCACAAATCTAAAGGATGAGTTTGTTTTTTTCACCACAAGTTATTTACTTGCCATGCATATTTTCTGATGGTATTGCTGAACTGCTGCAATAGACATCTTGTCTCCTTYGGTTTCCTTGGAGTTGTATGCTCTAATTCAGTTAATGAGCCTACTGCGTTCTACCATGTCAGCTTTGTCAGAGTTGGTCATTACACTTGAAAAGACCATGTTTCTTCCCAGTGCATAGTTTACAACTGGAGTTGTGGAAATGTTCATATTGTAAATTACAGTAAGATGCAGACTACAGTGCAGGTAAATTGTAATTTTTCACAATGTGATGTTTCTATCAAAGTTTTCTTACTTATCAGTAGAAAGGTTGGCATTTGTGTGGACCAATCTGCAGTGTCATTTTAAAACCTATCTTTCAGATGCAAATTTTCATGAATATACATCAAATCATATGWTTTGATGTATATTTGTCAGTGAAATTTGGGTGAAAACYATATACGGTCATTTTTGTATTTTTTTCTATGTTGTGAAGAATACAATTGTAATTTTATAGGTCTGATTCACTAAGATTATTATAAGTTAAATGTATTTTTTGTATATTTAGGTATCTGGTATTACCTGGAGCTCTGAAAGATTAAGCATAGAATTTTTATGCATGTTTGGAAGACATTTCTACTTGATAATGCAGTGAAATGGTTTGTATGCTAAAATACTAGTCTGTATTGTTGCCTTGTGAAATTGATTCTGTGCTTTCTGCCTGGATTTGGACTACTGACCAGTGATACTAATTGCTGTAATCCAAATAAAATAATTCTGAATGAAACAACTTGTATTGCTGCTGTTTAAGGAGGGAGGAAAAAAAAAMCAGATACTATGTAAAGGTGAATTAGGGCTGAATTTTTCTTCATCTGTGTATAACATTTATTTTGCAGTTTACAAAATTTTTGGCATAGATAACTTCTTGAACTCAAATGGAAGACAAAGCTTAAATTGTTACTCATGTTCTGCTTTTTCACATTTGAAAGATGTGTTCATAGCATGTTAACTGATAAAATTTAAACTCCTTTTGAAACTTCTTGAAGGACCCCAAATAGACTGCAAGCTTTTTGTTCTTGTAGTTGTCTATACTCTGCGAGGTGATGATTTTCGACAAAAACACTTTTTGGGTATTACAGTGGAATGCTTAACTGAAGTAATGGAATACTTCAGAGTTCGTTTAGTAAATAYGGTGTCTGCTACCACAGCGATGTTCTTAATATTTTTAACACTGAGAGATTTAAATACTGGGTCTAGGTTCCATTAATTCTCAAAAATAACAAGTTACAGTTTTCTAATAGGAATTGAGTAGCAGTTGCAGAGCGAGTGCTATTATTCTAGGCATATGCTTGTCATAAGATTGCACAACTACAGTGATTTTTTTGTTTGACTGCAGAAGGGATGAAATAATGTTGTCATGCCCAGCATCAGCACATGTCTTACACATGATAGCTATGACTTAGTACTGCTATGTAATTAAAATTCCCTTTGAGATGATGTGCTGTGAGGAGTGGTGCTGAGCTCCATTTGTGCCTTAGAATAACTATTACTCGTTATTTCTGTTTCCTCTTTTGCATTTGAAAAACAGTTGTTCTGTGTTCCTAGACGATACATTTCACAGCAGTATTTAAGGCTCATCTTAAATAAAATGTTGGCAGTCCTTTACATAAGACTTGGAAGGATCTCTGCTGGTATAGTGAGTATAAGATAAAAAGATTTAAATTTGTGTGCGACTCAGCTTTATTTGCTATGGATGGAACATTTCTGGAGGGTTGGGATCAATGAGCTGCCCAGCAGCCTCAAACTTCTACTCAATATCCAGAGACTTTTACACTCTCCTTGCCCATCTCCTAAAGAAACACATTTCCACAACTGTAAGAATGTTCTTACTACTGTGTTGAGAGAGAATTAATAGAGTTCCTGTAATCATTTCTGATGGCTAAATAGTAGTCAAAATTAAAAAATACGGATGGAAAATTAAAAATTTTTAATCTTGCTGATCACTAATTATCAGATTAATAGCTCCTACAAAGATGTAAAAAATCTTTTAGTCACTGAAGTCCTTTTGATATGTTCACAACTTAACTTGGCCTTAATATTTTCAGAAGGGCTTTATCTTTTTGATATGATGATGTTGAGAGCATGCTAGCATGAGGGAAATAGATGCAAGATTGACTGCAACATTKTATTTTGTTCTAGTCTTATAGGATTTATTTTACGGTATATTATAGGGTATAGAACTATATTATTTCAAACCACCCCTATAAAAGCACAATTCCGAATGTTCAGAAAAACTCTGGCAATGCTTGCCAAGGCCCAAGTTCTAAGGTGTTGCAATAAGCTGGCTTTCTATAGGTGGGATGAATGCATTCTGACTAGGTTGTACATAGAAATTTTACATTAACTGGTACTACATAAGGATGGCATTATTGGGAAATTCATTACTGGAAGTGTTTAGAGAGGCTTTTTCAGTAGAATTGTGTTTGAATACTGAATTGCATATTCTCCTGTCTTACAACTTTACTGCTTCAGACAGTCTTAGCAGTCTTCTGAAATCATAYGTAGCTGTCATCTACACACTGCTTAAAGCGTTATAGTCACCATATAGAAATATCCTTTACATCTAGCCTACATTTAAAAACCCTGATGTTAACATTTTCTAACTTGGGACACTCGCAGGATCATGATTGCTGGGTAATCTAAACTGAACCTCCTAGACATTACAGTAGGTTAGACTTACTCCAAAAACAGTGAGTAATAATCTAAAGAACACAGAAATAACCTAAAATGCTACTTTTTATATCCCTTAAAAACTGTTTTAGGTTAATGTCTGTCTGAAGGTCTGCCTTTTAATTCTTCTGTCTAGCATGCCTATGAACAACTTAACTGTGGGGAGAATATAGGAAGTAGCTTTCTAATCAGCCTGACATAAGGTTGCTTTATAATTTATTTATTTTTGTTAAAGGTTTCTTAAAGTAAAACATAGCACTTAATGGATGAAGACTAGTATAGTGAGTGCTGGGCTGCTCTGATAAATGACATTCTTAGTAAAAAGATGAGATAGAAGAAAGAGAGTGACTGACTGCAGGATAGAACTCATGCTTACCTTTCCAAAAACATTTGGGAGCCAATAAAAACTCTCGTCCTTTCTTCCTTTGGSATCATATAGTGGAAAAAGAACAGAGTAACAACATTAAATGTATTTGCTGACATGTTTTGACAATCCTGAGCCCTTGTACTAAGCGTTCATTGTATGTTTGTGATTATGGCAAACTGGATGCAATGGTTTAAGTCTCGTGTATAAACTACTTTTTTGAAAATACTGGACTGAGTAATAAACGTTTTCCAATTCAGCCTTTAAGTACAACTTAACTTTTTTTTTTTTTTTTTGTTTTTTAACTTCCTCTTACTTACATACACTACTGCAATTAACTTTAGTATATTGCTTTCTGCAGCAGTGGAGTTGAGCTGGGGAAATGGTCACACTTCAAATGAATGTTCAGTTGAATAAAAGTAATTGGAATTCATTCCATCTTCTGCACATGCATTGCAGAAGCTATTTACTTACTGTTTTTCATAGCATGTGAAGGCATTTTATGCTGACTCATTCTAGTAGAACAAACACTACATTATACAATATAGAGGACAGGATGCTGGCATGTATGTGGCAAATGAGAAGTTTAGTTTGAGAGGACAGCACTGCTCATACTGTCCTAACTTTGATTGAGGTATGCTTATTGCAATGTATGCTATATGACTGCCTGACCAGACAACAAGAGTGGCTATGAATGAAATTAATTCAGGAAAGAAAGCACTGCAACTGTTCACTGATGGAAGCAGCAAAAACACTTCCTTGCCTCAGCAAGAAAAAAGGGCTGAGAGAAAATAAGGCATTGCTGCTTGAGTTTACTTGGTGAGGACTAGAAATTAATACTTTGTATTGTCAATCCCAACCAGAAGTAGACTCTGTAACCTAGAGCTAGTTGAATTATTTTTCAAAGGCAACCCAAGGATATGCAGAAATCTCTTCCAACTGTACACATGGATCTGGAAGGGAGGCATATGTGAGCATTTACCAGCCAATGCTATACGTTCTTGATGCTGCAGAGTGGGTCATAGCATGCTGGATGTTGAAGAAACAAGATTTTTGTGAAAAGTTGTAATGCCATTACATATCACAGAGGTTGAAATTAGACAATTTAAGTATTCAGTTTTGCTTTTAATATTTATACTTATTTGCATAATAATTCATTGTCAGAGTCTAYTACATTAATTTTTAAGAATAAGAGCATATTGTTTTATGACCACTGCAGTTGTGTGATTCAGAATAACTTGTAAGTAAAAAATGTTCTGTCTTCATATATTTTTAGTCAAAGTCTGTTTACCTGATGAAAGTGGGATGGGCAATCATTTTTTTTCTGGGCCATTTACCTCTTTCTGAATGAGGGTACAGTTATTGAATAGATGTAGTTGGATCCTAATGAAGGATTGAAGTCTAACTACCTGTTAGCCTGTTAAACTGCCAGTTTAGCCTGTGCTTAGCTCCAGATCATCCACAACATTTGCTAATCTCATGTTACAGAGACAGAACATATGCAAACAATACACAAACAATTGAAAATAAGTTTCCTTAATATGCTCAGAGTAACTGTYCCATGCACTATTTTCCCCCTACCCCCATTGAAAATAAGGAAGTGTTTCATTGAATAGTTGTGTTATAATATCAGGCTATTTCTTCTCGTTCATAAAGCTGTGACTTGAAGCAACAGGTAAGTTTAATGGACCAAATCACCTGTCCGTTTGCCCTGGTTTCAAGTGTACTGAAGCTAGGCTTTGCAGTACTGGAAGTAATATGTTGCTGGTGTGCTTAGCGGTGTAATGATGAGGCCCGTCACACACTCCCATTTATGACTAAATTTATTAGTGCCTCATTTGTGCTTCTGCTAAAGATATTTTGTAAGTAATTTTGTAAGTGGACTTTAAGATACTGCAGCTTACATACAAGTCCTTCACAAACTAAAAGCTGTCTAGCTTGTATGCCAAAAAGCAAAAGGTTGTATTCTGAACTTAATACAAACTACAGAAGTCCACTCTTACCATTGCTTCAAGCAATTTATAGTTGAGCTAGCCAGACTAATATGAGGCTGAAAATTAAGTATATATGGGGCACAGTTAACAAACTTTTGCATGCATGGTCTTTTGATGTTAGATTAAATGCTTGCAAATGACCCATTTGATTTACATTAAGGTGCAGTTCATCATGTAGTCCTTCAGTATTGCACATACGCATCTAGCTCTAGGTTGACCTAAACAGCACAGAAATGCATGTAGTTTTAGTTCTAAATTTGTGGGAAAGTGCTGCCAACACTCCAATACTGTTATGATAAACTGATTGAATAAGCAAGTTATTCCAGGTTTCTATGTRGCCTTCAAACCGTGGCAGTCAGTTATGAGTCAGGCTTTTATTTTTTTTATTACTTTGTTACTATGTTTTCACAATATTCTACTTGCCTTTGGGTCTGTTTTTTGTGCATCCTCAAGACTGAGGGGAAAAAAAGAAGGCTGAGAACATAACAGCAGTTTGCTCAGTTTTGGTATTTCATGCCTTCAGTGGAGAGACCAAGAATTTGTTTTGCATTGACTATCCTAATTGACAGAGCATAGATATTTTAGAGATCTATGTTTAATATTTGTATGAATCTTACTGTGTTAAAGATTATGAAAAGTGAAATGTGTGGCACGTATTTTAAARACAGTAGCTAGATATTCTTCCCTATTTTAGGTAATACAAAGGCAGAATACTACATCTAGTGCTAATAATACAGGGAAATTGTTTTAATACTGATTTGCAATGACAACTGAATTTGGTGTTTGTGTGAACTGTTATGTATTTAAGAACTTTAGATCTGTACTTCACTTGGCTTTGTGACTGTACTTGCCGGTGTCTTCTCAGCTGCCCTGGCAGATCTTGAACAATTAATATGACTATATTTCTATCATTCTTTCCTTATTCTATCAATTTCCCACATGCTTAGTTTCATTTAGATGCATTCTTTAACATTCTTGCTTAAAATACAAGGAGAAACATTTGTCTGAGGGAGCAAGAAGCCCAAACAAACGAAATTATTGCAAGTTTTTATTTTAATCTAGTTTTGATTAAATTTTCATAGAAGGAATTTAGTGGACCTTTTTTTCCACACAAACCAGAGTAGCTTGAATAACAGAGTAAATAGAATTTGGAAAGGCTAGGTGAGGGTGGAAGGTAGGACATTAGCCTTCTAGATAGAGCACAGTAAGGTCTCTATTTTGGCAATACATTGTCTTGTGATATTTATGTTTGTTGATCTCTAAAATGGGGCAAGTAAATATTATCATTTTAAAGATTAGAAAATACAGAGAATACTTGTATTGACAAAGGTCATAGCTGTTTAATTGCCAGTTGGGACAAATTCATGGTTGCTTCTCACTTTTAAGGTCGTTCTCCACAAACTGACTGGACTGAGTTACCAAAGGAAAATGTAATTATTACCCATAAATCACTTCTGTATTAGTAGGGAATGCACTAACTGTCTGAATGTTTTTATAACAAATATTAGACTTTTTAAAATGGCTTTAGATCAGTTGAAATAAGTTGTTGTTCCACTTTTTTGCATAACCCTTTCTATTGAGCCAAACATGCAATCCTGTGTCAAAATTGTGAATTTATTGCTTTTCCCAATAAATATACCCAAATTTTCACAAACCATAGGCATTTTTTATAGTCTTTACTTATGAGTATCCAACTTTGAAAACTAAGGATTTTTTTWAAAAAACAACCTGGTTTTATTCAGCTATAAATTATTGTGGTAGGTATAAATTATTGTAACATTAAAAATAAGTAAAACTGTTCAAATGACAAGATAGCATATGAAAAGAAGTACGAATGATATTTCAGAACTGAAACAATCGGCTGGTGTTACCTGTATAGTAAACTATTTGGAGAAGGTTCTGTAACTGTGATGGTACCCTGAMTTTGACTGAGGCAATTACTAAGTAATACCAAACTTGGTCCCAWCAGGGGAATATATGACCAATAAAATGTTTTGACTCATAACCTGAGCAATATGTTGTTGATATCCAGAACTAAAGGAGGTAAGACTGGATGCAGAGTCTGGCAAGTGCCAGATCCATACCTTATTAGTCATTTTCTATTATACAGAATTAGTTTTAAATCATCTGCTGAGCATCATCTTTCTCTGTTCATTTTTACAGCTGCATATGGTTAGGGAAAATTGAGATCTGTATCTGCTGGTTTTGTGAGAAGAACACCAAAATAGAACTTTATGCCAAAAAAAAAAAAAAAGTCCCAATTTCCAGCAAGTATTAAGAGTTGTTTCACAGGCTTTCATGTTAGAATCAGGCACTTTGCAGCTTTGCAGCTAAAATGCATAACCAAAAGAGATTAAAAACAACAACAACAATACAAAATAATTCTCTGGTTTCTAGATAGTGACATGTTATACACTAAACAGCAAAAAAAAAATGTCTAAAAGATGGTAGTAATTAGATGTAAATATATGTAAGTATATAATGGAAAGGGAACTGTGAGGGTGCTCTTCAGCAATTGTAAGGTTTAGTATCTGGGCTGGGAAGAGGTTCTTTGGGGGGTTTTACCCTTCTCTGTTTCAATCACTGATGCACACTGTTTTTAAAACTTACGTTTCTGTCGTTTTGGGTAGAAGGTGACTGACTGCCCCCGCTGCCCGTGGGTTTGCTACCAAATTGCGAATCCACAGCCTCGAAGATAAGGCAGGGCTTTTGAAATACTCCGCTTACCTCCYGTTATCCCTGGGACAGTTCAGCAGCTCCCTCGCGGGCTCGGTGTCAGAATGGGATGTTTCGGGAGGGGGTAACACAGCTGGACCCGCAGGTACTCGAGGCGCTGGGCTGGGGCGAGCACGCTGAGGAGGCGCTAACGGCCGTAGCGCGAGGCCCGTGTCGCGCCCGAGGGCATTAACGGTCGCCCGCGCGCCTCACACGAGGGCGTTAACGGTCTCCCGCGCGCCTCACACGAACGAGTTAACGGCCGCACCGCGGCCCAGGCCCCGCCCGCCCCTGCGGCGCGCCCATTGGCCAGCCTGTTCGGCGGTGGCGTCCAATGGCGAGGCGCGGTGGC